AACAAGCAATATACAGGGTGCCCCAAAATATGTATACACTGTTTGACCGTTAATATCTCTCTTCCCAAGAAGTTGCCCTGCTTCAGGTACCGTTTTGTAGAGCTGGCTTCAACTTAGAGTTGCAGCATGAAAAGAATTACCGACCGCTTTTCATCACTGTAGGATTACGGCAGAAACTTGAAACATATGGTGTCAATGTGGAAAAAGCTGCCGTTTCAAAATTTTTCATAAAAATGTGAAAACTTGCGTAATAGGGCTCTTATGGACGCTGTGTTCAATACTCAACTATTCACAAGGTTGCGAGGCTTTCTAAATGGTGTAACCTCACTTTTTAGGAACATTGAAAAAATGGCCGCCACCTCTTAATTGGCATAACTCTTCAATGGAGATCATAATAAGTTGGGAAGTTTACAGTTAGTATCAGCAGCCCTAATTAGCCTAGTGTAAAAGTTTTCAGACTGTTTTGTTTCCTTTTTTAGGCAAAATATGGCCTTTCATGGCTCAAAACCCTCTTTGAAGTTTCCACCGTAATCCAACAGTAATGAAGAGAGATAGGTGATTCGCTCCATATTGCAAAAAAGTTGAAGCCAGCTCCACAAAATGGTACCTGACGCAAGGCAAAAGACTTATTGGGAAAAGAGATATTAACGATCAAACAGTGTATGCATACTTTTGGGACACCATGTATTATATATCATGTGCTACCTTACCTCTTTCTCTTGTGCGACTCTTTGAGACCTGCTTGTCACGCTTCTTTTTCCAATATCGAAGAGTCATTTAACTTTTGTTGCAAAGATTCATTTTTATGAGCAAATGCAAAAAACGTTGTGACTTAGTGCATGTATGTTTATCAAACATCTAATCGGCATCACAAGAAAGATGACTCCTAAAAAACATACTCCGATAAAGAAGTGCGTTTGCGATACAATCTTTCTTGTTTACTTTCTTGCTGCAAATTAAGATGGAAATAGTGGCGTACCTGCGCTGGTCAAGAATCAAAAATAGCAATCAAAGACATATGTAGAGAATCTATTTTAAAATTATCTATTCAGATATGAGAAAACTTATGAATTTCTTAGACCGTCAATATTTTTCAACCTTACTAATCTATTGCTTTGTAAGAAACTTCTGCCGAAACTTTTCTCAGCTCTGAAGGAAAAAACTGAAGATTTCTAGAATTCTCATATGCAGGAGATCATAGGGAATAATGAATAATGCAATGCAACATAGACTATAAGTTTGCATTGCCTCCGGGTTCCTAGAGTGATGGAAACAATTCAAAAATTGGATTTTCAGAGATTTTCTTCATGCTTTTGTGGAGCAGTCGATAGGGAACGTTTTTTGAGCATCTAAAACTTTTTTGGTTAAAATGACAAAGACTGTGATGCTTTAACATTAAGTGCCACTCATCTTATATGCATTACGCTTCCGATCCTTTTACACTAAAGATTGGTTAAAATAGGTGTGATTTGGGCCAGCTTATCCCGTTAAAAAGGCACTGACTTCAGAGCAGCTAAGAATTATAGTGAAGCTCAGTGGAAATTCGAGAATTACATATAGTGAAGATCAGTGATTAGCGTCATTCGTGAAAGTGCTGCTATGATTGGCAGCACCTAAAATATGAAAGCCTTTGGTATGCAGAAGTGGAGCCCATTTTCGCTAGAAGATATGTGACTGAAGTGCGTGTAATTTTGCCATAATCTTGGAAAAAGCAGATGTAAATAAGAGACTTTGTCGCTTTCTTCAAAGCTCTGAGAAATTCTGATTAGGAGCATGCATCTCCAGAATAGAATGAAATGATTGGAGAAAGTGAACTGGAAAACTTTTATAAGCTCCGCAATTTCTAATGTTAATATTTTACATGTCCCCAAATCAACAGTCATCACATGTACTTCAAATGTCGCGAGTAGGCTAGATTTTCGATGTTGAAGCGGTTTTTTATTTCAGTAACCAAAGAGCACTCGTTGATGCATCCGCTCTAAGCGTGCTATAAATCAAAGCTCGTTCGCTCAGTGTAAATAAAATATTCTTGTTGTATCTTTTGCTGGACGACTACTATATGCAAGTGAATATGTGCATATAACAAGAGGATGGGAACAATCGACAGGAGACAATCATAGGTTTGTTGTCACACCACAATCTGCTAATATGACAGATGTGTTTAGTCGGGGTATTTATAGCCAGTGTCTCTCCCTGTGAAAGTGGGAGGTTCGAGGAATGTAGCTCCAAGGCTGAAAAATCAACCTATGTCAGCTTCTAAGTGCTAACGACTTTTTCAGCGTGGTCGGACCATATCACTGTTCATCTTCAAAAACCAAATCAGCCAGCTTGTGGATGTCCATGTGTTTGAATTCTCTTAGCTCAAAACATATTTGCTATTTTACCAAGCGACAAACAAATCTCTACTGCAAAAAAGTGACTGATGATTGTAATAAGATATCCGCACTCTATTTTAAGGGACGTGCAATATAGTTCTGAAAGATTAGAGTCTGTGTAAAATATTCTGTTTTTGGGCGAAAAAGCTTTGTGAGGATCAAAGCGGTGGAGATTTTCAATATGTTTTATCGTGCTGAGTAGTAAAAAGCAGTTTCGCAATATTGACCATTGACGTATCTTCGTACAAAACCACTGATGTGTTGGCTATCTTTGCCGGATTAGAATAGGAAAACAATAGATATTATACACTTTTTTTGGGACAAGCTACACATTTACCTCATTCAGTCAATTCTACGAGCCTACTTCGATAGGGCAAAAAATTTTGTGACTGCTTCCGTTTTTGGAAATTGTAACTCTCCTTCCTTTTTGATTACGATGTCACGATGTCAATTGTCAACATACTTTTGCTTGAACATCGGATAATGTAAGGATAGGAGGAGGAGGGGGAGGGGGGATTGCAAAGGGAACAAGAGAGTTTACAATACTATGTCAGCATCTCTAACACTTTGAATGTGTTTTTTTGCAAAAAAAATCCTTAAGATAGATGATCGCAGCAAATCCTTCCTCCCCTCAAACTCTCCTGCATTTGCAATGAAAGAACCCATTTATACGCATATCCGCATTATTAGCATCAGGGATCGTGGCACATTAAGCGTGCAAACGGGGAAAAAGCTGTGCTTTCGCATTTATAACGCTTAATCTGCATCTGTGATAAAGAAAGTTGAAGCAGGGAGGGGGGGGGGAACAGGAGGGCATGCCATCAAAAAGTTCAAAACGAAACGTTATGCTGTTTTCTCTATAAGCTTACGAAAGGGAGTACTTTGCCCTTACGACGCCTTCTACAGTGTTTTGACGGAAATTTCCTCTTCATTGTCGGCATCATTGGGTAAAGTTCCTCTTTCAAGCACTTCCATTGTTTTGGATTCACGTAGAAGACCAACAGACATCCAAGTTAGCGTACCATTACTAGGCACCCAGGTAGAAGCTCTCAGCCGTGAATGTTCTCCTGCATTTGCAAGAGAGAACCCAATTATAACCTTCTCCGCAGTCAATAGCATCAAGGCTGGTGGCAGTGATGCTGTTGTCCATTCCTGAACATATACTAAAATTGGAACAATGCAGAGAAGATTAGCATGGTCCCTGCGCAAGGATGACATGCAAATTCGTGAAGCGTTCCAAAATTTTTCAATTTACGTTTGTGCTTCCACGTTGAGCGGCCGCTCTTGTATTTTCTCTCACAGCTTACTGTTTATTGCTATTCGGCCGTCCAGTTGCGTTCACCTTTTCAGATGAGACATTTAGTTTCATACTGCCTTGTTTTTACTAGTGGCTGCCGTTTTTGTTTTCTTCAAAGTAGGTTTTGCAGTTTTCCGAAATTTTTAGGATTTTTTGCTGTGATGTGATGCTAAGTTTCCAAAATTATCTGTTGCGGATTTAATGGATATAATAACCAGCATTAGGGATAGAAAGAATGATTGTAATCGACGGATCTTTTTGCTCTGTGTGAGAAAATACCTTTGGCGGCTGTTGTGATCTAGAAGCCTAGAAGCAATTGAAGCGTCGTAATCAGCGGCATTCCTGAAGCAAACAAACAACTTCCTTTCCA